TGACTTGTCCCACCTTATAATTTGGACGAGTGGCGACTCCCTTTTTTTTTATATTTTCACACTTTTAATCCTTTTTTTTAAAGTGGTCGTCAACAGATTGGCGACTCCACTGGGGATTGAACCTAGAATCCCTGGTTTTCATATTCTAGGTTCACGAGGGTCGAACTAATACTTTAACTTTGGGAGAATTTTCAACTTTTGATTTTCTTTGTTTGTTGAGTCTTTGTTGGTCTTTGTGCTTGTTGCTTGTTGCTTGTTGCTTATTTGCTCATTGTTTTAATGATTGCTTTATTATTTTGCTTTTGAGTAGTTATTTAGCTACATCTTAGCATACATCATATCTTGCTCACATGTTCATGCATCACATCATCTCACGTGCTCATGCATCACTGATGTTACATGCTTATTCATCATGCGTCATGCTTACATGCTTCCTTGCTTATATGTGAATGTACTAACCTTTTGCATTTGGCATGGGAGTACGAGGTGAGTTCCTTCTTGCTTGTAAGTAGGTTTGTTTGTGGGTGTTATATTTGTTGAGTGTTTTACATTTTTTATTTGCTTGTTGTGAAATATGTGTTGCTTTTTTATGGTTGCTTTTAGTGTCATGCCCCTTGCACACACTCACTCTCATTTTGCATTAGGTCCGTGTCTGAGGTGAACCCGACCTCTAGTCTGGAATCCTTATGAATCTGGCTTGGAAGAGCAATTCTTCCCGCTTTGAGGAGTAAGATCGATTCTCGTTAGGTTGTTTCCATTGGTTAATACGACACCTGATGATGTAATGTCATCCTGTGTATTAGCATTTGGAAATATCTCCCATCGATTTTGAAAAGATAAATGGTTGAGAAGGCCTAATGCCCTTTAGGAAAGCATGCAGTGAACTTAAAGAGAAACCACCCATAGGACTTGTCAGCCTAGAAAACCACTAGTGAGGTTAGGATTCCCTGTGTCTAGGTACACAAGGGGACATTTTTCATCTTACCTTACTTTTCGCACTTGCAGGTGTTAATTAAGTCAACCATGTCAAGTATCATGACATCCATCACGTTCATTTACGCACTTTGCCTTTCACTTTCTACTCAATACTACATGACACCATGCACTTTGGCATTTTCACTTTCTATTCCATACATCATTTAAAAAAAAAAAATTTGCATAAGTGTTTTACATGTCATCAACCTTTCACATGTCGTACGTTCATTACATTGCATTTGCCATCTCATGCATCGCAAAATATGTTTTCATGTTCACCTCATGAGACATTCTCCCTTCCATTCATTTTACATTTCACTTTTCGTCCCATATTTCACAAAAAATTTACAAAAAAAGAAATTCCATCCATGTTCATTACATTACACCTTCCATCTCATATAAAAAATTTCACAAAAACATAAAAAAAAAATCCCATTCACATGCATTTCATACTGCATTTGCTATCTCAAGTTTTCATTTCAAGCATTACTACTTCCATCTCATACTTCAAAAAAATTAAAAAAATTAAAAAAATTACATGGAAACAAAATTTCATCCATTTTCATTTTTCATCTCATATTCCTTTTCAAGCATTACAATCTCCATCTTAGATTTCTCATATTTCCCATGTTTCAAAAAAAAAAAAAGAGTTGCATAAAAAATGAAAATCTCATCTATGTTTAGTTCACATCACATTTCTCATCCCATTTTGCATTGCAGTCCATATTCAACCTTACATCACATCTTCCATCTCACATTAAATTGACATTCATCTCATGCTCATTTTCTCTTTTGAATAAAGTTGAATTTGGTCCTCATATTTTCTTGTTTTTCAATTAAGTCCTTCAAACTATCACTTTCTACAAAAACAAAAAAATATTGTCCAAACTCTCTTTCAAAGAAAGTCTCACCCACTTACATTTTCTACACGAAAGTCACACTTGCATGTTTCAAACTTTTTGGCCTTACCTAATTAAATCCAAAGCATTTCACATTTTGTTAAAAAAAAAAAAAAAAAACAAAAGAATCATCTTTTTTTCAAACTCCATGACATTTGCTCTTTTCACCAAAAAGGACTAAATTGAACTTCGTCAAAGTTTGTTGACCAAATTTACATTATATTACAAAATTTTCATCATCCTTGCATTTTCATTAATTCATACAAAAAACAAAAAAAAAAAAAAAAAAAAAAAAAAACAAAAAAAGGGGATCTGGAACCTTCTCCTTCCCCATCAATCTTATCTTTCCTCATCAATCTTTCCTCTCTTCTGCAACCGAGCCGACTCCGCCCCCCCTGCCACTGCACCCGAGCCTGCAGCAGCCCACGCCCCCTGCTGCCTGCGCCCTTTTGCTGCTGCAGCCGACTCCGCCTACCTTCTCCTTCCCCATCAATCTTTCCTCTCTTCTGCAGCCCTTTCTCTGCGCCGCCCCTCTTCTGCAACCAGATCCTGCAGCTGCAAAGATAGATCCTGCGCCTATGTGGCAGTCAACCGAGCATGAGATAAACCTGCAGGATGACATCACGCTCCAGCTTTCTTGGCTGTCCTGCAGGGCCAATTTTGGCCTCACCCGATCAACGGTGGAAGGAAAAAGAAAAAAAATTGAAGGGTTTGGATGAGGAGAGAAGAAGGGAGTTAGGGTTTTGTTTGATGGGGTATAAATAGGAAGGACCGGTAAATTGAAAGGGGTTTTTTTTTTTTTTTTTTTGTTCTTGGGGTGGTTCTCTTAGTCCGAGTTTGGGGTGTTGCTTGAGAGCAGCGGGAGGATCATTGAGCCGAGCAAGATTGTGCATTTTTTGGGTTTTCGTCTTAGGTATTTTCCTGCAACAGAGGAGTCTTTCTGGGGAGGCAGTGAGGGGAATGATCTGGGCTTGATCTCGTGGGTGGGATCCGCCAGATTGGACTCTGATCTGTTACCCAGAAAGCTCCGCCGTGTTTGTTTCTTTTATCCTCCTGTTTCTGATGTCTGCTTTCATGATGTTAAGTTTGTATATGTTTACCTGAAAATGAATGAGAATCTAAGTTTAACTAAGTTATGGTGTTTTGATGATCTTGCTCTTTCTTTGCTGTTGGCGAATATGATTTTCTCATGACAA